CATCCATCCATCCATCCATCCATCCATCCATCCATCCATCCATCCATCCATCCATCCATCCATCCATCCATCCATCCATCCATCCATCCATCAACTCTTCCATCCATCCACTCTTCGATCCGTCCATCCATCCATACGTCCATTATATATATCCATATATTTTACTATTGTCCTTTCAAACAGCGTCAGCCCTTAAGTGCCTTAAGTGCTTCTCCTACAAGTCCACCCAAGACTGTAACGAACGAATGGCCTCAGTTACCTGCGACGAAGGCTTCGATCGCTGCAGCAACACGACAGTAGAACTCTACGCTGCATTCATGAACGAAGCGATCGTCGGCTACCAACTCGACTGCGCCAGACAAATCGAATGCCAAGAGAATAAGTGTGCCCGTCACTTTGGTATTAATATGGGAATCCAAAACTACCGGAAATGCGTCATATCCTGTTGCCAAGACAACCTATGTCCTTTTAGTCCAAACATCACCACACTGCGGCCACCGTCCAACGAAAATGACGTGGGAGGCCCTGCCAAAGGTGCACGAGGAGGGGTAGGAAGAGTAGTTATTGCTTCTTCGATGCTCGGGATAATTCTTGGAATTCATTCCCTGGTGATCTCTTAAGATAGAAACTTTTTTTCATGGTGTGGACTTCCTGTGGGATATTTAACCGAGGAGTCCAAAAGACTGGGACGAGCAATGAATGTTTTCTAAATTTATGATTTTGTTTAAAAAAAGTTGAAGTTGGCCTTTTTCGCTGGCGTTTCTCTTGCATTGGGATCCCTGTATAATAGAGACTTGCTCCGTCGTTCGCTGACTCTTTCGGTCGGATATCTACACATCACAGGTAGCCCGGTAATRCAGCAAGCGAGAAACCCAAAGCAAAGAGATACGTCGGTGAAGGAAGCTAATGTAAATAAACGTGACTTAAAATAACTTCATAGTAATCTTACATATTAGTTACTCAAACGTTTTCTGATTGGCTGGTCTTTATTCCAACATGGCGTGCACGGTGTACGAAAATGGGTTATATAAGAAGTCTAGAGTTAAGAAAATACCTTGAGTAAATCCTTCAAGATTTCCTCTATTTAGCGTACAAAGTTTGTTCACGCTAAATTTTGGTCTCCTCATAGCCACGTGACTATGTTCCAGGTGGAATTTTCGTTTGTGCATGACGTCATAGCCGCCATCTTGGATGAATTTAACAAAAGCATTGTCAAATAATTCTTTTGTTGTATCAACCAACATATTGTTGTTTTACTCTGCAAACCTTTTTTATGGATAGTACGTCATAAAAATAGTAAAATTCAAAGGGACGTATTGTTTTGATAAAATAAATATTAATATTAATAATATATTAATAACATTTTAATAATATTTAATGCTAACTTGTTTAACATTTATTTTTATCTTAAATATTTTTAACGTCTCAATCACGAGTATAGCACGTGATCAGCACGTGATAAAAGCAATTATGGTTTACCTTTAAAATAATTTTCAGTCAAATATGATTAACACAAGACGTGTTGACTTTCAAAGTCACGCCTTCGGAATTGTCACGTTTTATAGCACTGTTACAGATCACGTGACAATTGATCTCTCGTATCTTAAATTAGCTCTTTGTAGTTTGCTTGAAAATTACACTGACAATATTGAACTCATTTCTTGTCTTATAACTTTGAATTGTTGACGTAAAGACAACGAAAGTCTTCCGGAAGTCTTCCGAGTTCTGACAGTATATTTTCATTTTTTCATTCATTCTTTTCCCAAAAAAAACCCGCAAATCTCTTTCTTGTTCTTGTTGTTGAGTCGTCAATTCATTAATGATAAAGTTGTAGTCACGTGCATGCTGACGTCACACTTATCAATGAACCCCAAAACGATACGACTGAAAAACGTCTGCGCAGTTCTGAATCCGTATGCAAATTAGTCAAAACATGACTTTCAAACATGCCTGATAAATTGGACTTCACAAAATGCCAAAACTTAGTGTCCATGCTTGAAACTTAAGTCTAATTCTTTCATATTGTGTTTGTTAATACAGTATCTTGGTCTGACAAAAGTATACTCTCGAACTTTTTTGTATACTTGGAGAAAACAAGCATTTATTTTCTCACTCAAACTCTTCAAAATTCTTAGAAAACGTGCTGAAGTGCACGCATGCGCAAACGTTTTACTCTAGTGTCCCCCAAAACATCTCATAATAAACGAAACCTTGTGAATCTCCATAGACATAAAATCCGTTTAAAAGAATTCAGCTCATCAATTTCCATGCAAAGAACTTGATTGAAAAAAGCGCCATCAATATTGACATATTTCCAACTAAAGGAACCTGAGCCTGCGATATCGCTTGCGCTGAGATTTTAGGGCTTGCAGTTGGTGCAAAGTTATTACACAGATCTCCTTGGCAACAATTAACGAGGCAGTTCTTGAGTCCCAGACCTTTACTCTTCAGGATATCGGATAGTTTATCACAGCGTGACGAGGTGGCGTTACAGTCCATGTCACGCACAGCACAATCCATCCATTCACCAGTATCTATCTCCTGTAAAAATACAATCGATTTTTTTCCTTCGAATAATTATTCATAATTTATTTATCTATGTTATTAATAATTTATATTCATACTTTCTTTCAGATACAATTACCCCTCTCACTGAAGTTATTATTATTAGTGAAATCAAATCATCAGCCAAAATCGATCAAAACCACGGACTATAGTCCATGCTTTTTGCCCAAAAATGACCAAAAATGACCTACTTTTCATTCCTCATAAATTATGCATATCTTTAAAAAAGGTGTGACAATGGGCCAAAATCGATCAAACCATGGATTATAGTCCATGCTTTTTGCCCAAAAATGACCAAAAATGAYCTATTTTGCATCCCTCATAAATAATGCATATCTTTAAAAAAGTTGTGAAAATGGGCCAAAATCGATTAAAACCATGGGCTTTAGTCCATGCTTTTAGCCCAAAAATGACCAAAAATGACCTATTTTGCATCCCTCATAAATAATGCATATCTTTAAAAAAGGTGTGAAAATGGGCCAAAATCGATCAAACCATGGATTATAGTCCATGCTTTTTCCCAAAAACGACCAAAAATGACCTATTTTGCATCCCTCATAAATAATGCATGTTTTTAAAAAAGGTGTGAAAATAGTCCAAAATCGATCAAAGCCATGGGCTATAGTCCATGCTTTTTGCCCAAAAATAACCAAAAATGATCTATTTTGCATCCCTCATAAATAATGCATGTCTTTAAAAAAGGTGTGAAAATGGGCCAAAATTGATCAAAACCATGGGCTATAGTCCATGCTTTTTGCCCAAAAATGACCTATTTTGCATCCCTCATAAATAATGCATACGTTTACAAAAGGTGTGAAAATGGGCCAAAATCGATGAAACCCATGGGCTATAGTCCATGCTTTTTGCCCAAAAACGACCAAAAATGACCTATTTTGCATCCCTCATAAATAATGCATAT